TGAGGAGAACATGCAAACTCCACACAGAAACGACCCTGGTCACCCGGCCGGGAAACGAACCCAGGCCCTTCTTGCTGTGAGGCGACAGTGCTACCCACTGCGCCACCATGCCGCCCACTTTCCACATTATTTCTTTTATTTTTCAAAAAAACGATGAATATGAAGTAGTTAATGCTGAATTACAGCATGCATTTATTGTCGCCGAGTGTCTGTTTTCCACGAAGAGGTCTGTCTGGAACCAGCTAGAATGTGGGTTTAATGGCTCTTCCTGGCCTCACTGATTCCAGATTGTCCTTTTCCACTTCTGGGCTGTGAACTTGGCATAAACGACACTTATTTCCAATGTGGTCCTCAGTGGCGGCTGCTATGATCGCCACAGTCGCCCGGAACTACTTACAGATTTACTAACATGTAAACACACGCATTTAGCAGGTGCAGTCTTGTAGCTTAGTTATTGTTCAAAAGCCAATCCAACATGCCAGACTGCATGATTACTGATTGCTGCTGAAATTAGATGGTTAAATGGAACAGGGCAGCTGGCTCTGATAATGAACTGATTCCTTCCACGTCCTCTTTCGGCTTCATTTGGCGCTAGCCTGGGAGCAAGGCTGGAAAAAATTCTCTGAATGGTCTTAAAGAGCACATTGGCCTGACAGTGGAAAACCAACATCATGTAAAGCAATGGAGATTTCAGATTCAGTTCTGAAACATTATACAGCACCACAGAAATGCTCCTTTCCCAAAGTGCAATTGTTTTCAGTTCTCCCACCCTGCACTGGGGCTCTCCCCCCATAGCCCTATTTCAATTATTCCAAATAAACCATGTTGGTACTGGTGTCAATGCATTGATCTCAAGGTGGTGATTCAACTGCATTGATTTTGAAATTTTAGAATAGAATAGAAACAGTCAATATAGTCTGCACTCATTTTTCAGTCTCAGGCTATTTAGTTTGGTTTCCATGAAATATGGAACTTCTCAAGAATACATGTGCTAAGAATAAAAAGTTTGGTGTATTTTATTTTTATGGTCTTTATTGTCGTTATGCCTCTACTGTGTAAATAGTTCCTCCGGCTAAATTTAAATATTCTAGGTGTTTTTAAAAATAAATCCTACCAACCAGTAGGGAACCCTCAGGGCCTTCAGAGAAGGCCTAATGATTCCTAAACTAAACTAAAAATATATATAAATCTGCTATTCTCAGTTCATTTTTATTCAACAGGCTCATGCAGCTTGCTGTATTTATATTCTGTAAGTATTGAATTAATACTCTTATTTCATTTTTAAGTGTTAGTTGGAAACAAACAGGTTAAAATGTTGAAATGCCCAACGTCTGATTATTGTTGGTGTGTAGGGAGATACAGCCAAGTGAGCTTGACCCCTGGTTAGGCCTTCAGGAGCTGGACAGAAGGCCTCACACATCACCCAATCACATTTTGATTCAAAATGGGTGAGACCACATTTCTGAGAAAAATCACTCCAGGCCAGCCGTGCTCGAACTGATCCTCAGGGCCGACCAAACACTCCACATTTTTCCTCCACACCGATTTGTTTTAAGTTAGATTGGAGCAAAAGTGAGTGTGTTTACATGCACTCAGTAATCCAATCATTATTAGATTTCCGCAGTTATCTGATTATTCAAATGGTCACGTAAAAAGCATATTATGATTTCTTAGATTGGAGTAAGGTCTAGAAATCCAAATGAGAAATCCAATAAAGAGAGCTGGATTTTAGCTCAGCAATAGAATTTCTCAGTGCATGTAAACTCTTACTCTGATTTCTTTCGTTTTTCTTAGTCTGCACATGTGTGAAAACAGACCGCGGTACCGGAAATTAGCAAGCAGTGTTTAACACAGCACCCGTGAGACAGCAACAAAACGCTTTTGGAGCGATGCTGAAATAAGTAAAGGATTTAAATATTATTTATCTTCTAGATGATGTATGTTCACATATTCAGGTAAAGTGGCAGTGTTTTTTTTAAAAGTGGCAGCATGATGTTTGAGGTTTTCGTTATGTTTACATTATGTCTTCTTCTGTGAGTTTATTGGCTGGTTGAAAAGCAAAAATACGATTATTGCTTGACTCAAGCAGACCCAGAGTTTTGACCATTATCTGATGACTCAGGTGCATGCAAATGCGTTGATCAGATTACTGACAAAATCTAATTTTCTGCATGTAAACATACTCAGTGTGGACCATCTATTGGGCACTCAGGACTAGATTGAAAACCACTGGCCTTAATATCTGTTACAAGTTAAAATATGACATATGAAACCTATTTTGTCCTTGTTTAAACTAGAACAGCCCAAAAAGATGTGCACAAACATTAGCTTAGCACTAGCACACTACACAGAAATCCCCTAGGAGTGCTAGCAGAAAGGAGCATCACCACAGAGGTGTTTTTTCTTGTGTTTTGAGTCAGTACTGGCCCAAACTGAAGGCCAAGCTCACCAAGCATGGGTCACCACTGATACCAACATTATCAAACTGAATCAGACTGAATTGAATCATGGTGAAATATGAGAGTTCCTGATGCATTGAATCGTTTCTTAAAGAGTCATAATTTAATCAAAATAAAACCAAGGCCTCTGCAAAATAATCCTCAGCTGCGTCAGACTATACCACTTTTGAGAGACATCAACATTAAAGGGACACTCCAGCCAAAACCAAAATATTTTGAAAGACCCGTGCTTTGGGGTGGATACTAAAGGCTGGGCTGTTTGAATTTACTTTGCTAGCTGGCAAAATGTTTCCTTTAACAACAAAAAAAGCTAGATGGCCAGTTGAGGTTAGTTTGACCACTAATGCTTGCTAGCACCACAGATGCATTTATTAGCCTGAGACCAGTGGCTAGCAGTCAGCAGTCACCCAGTTCTTGTATGATGCTGGGTATGCTGGGTATTGTAGTGAGAGAACACTGATGGACAAAACTGTCAATATTACATAACCCAACAAATAACATACTAAACTAGCTTTAGACCAGAATCCCCTTTCAAGTCAATGTGAACATCACTAAGCGAAAACTGCAGCCAAATATTTCTGCATTGCACTCTTACTGCATGTTTGCCTTTAGGTCAAGGGTTAAATCTGAAGGACTTGAGGAAAGAAAGAAGATCGGTAGTCTAACCTGACCTCAAAGATCAATACCAACCCTCCACTTTCTTTTTTGACAAGTCATTGATTGTCTATTGACAGCGGTATGCAACACTAAACATGACTAAATATGACTCTATTATCAGCTGTGCACCTCTAAAAGCCTTTGCAGTCGCAGATATTGATTAAATATTTTTGTCCATATAAATGTAGGATCCAGAAATAATTTGACCTACAGCTCCTCTGCTGAAAACAGAAAATTAGTATTGCATTTAAAATGCATTTATAATATATAATTGTATTCTAATGCAATTCTAATGGATTGCATTAAGCTAGTATGGCCTGTGCCACCCATTTCCAACAGGAGCAACTCATAATGAGAACAATATCACACAATGGCACAACAAAGAGGCCAAGAAGCCTGCAGCACTTATTGTATGCAACATGTCTTGGTTGTGTTTATAACCTGGTTTGCTGAACAATGTAGTGAGATGCTGTGTCAGCAGCTGACCACAGCACTGCATTTAGCACAGTAATAACGTCGGAATAGAAATGCATTAACTAAAATAGCCATTATTGGTTTGCTGGACCCATACTTTTTCATTCCTGAACATACAGCAACACAAAGACATGCCTAGCAGCCAAACACAGGCCTTAAAGGGAGGGGAACTCCACCAATTTTTTTCAAAATGTGTCCATAATCCAAGCTTTAAGATGTAAACAAAGTAATTCAGACTAGTTCAATGTGAAAGGCTCCATTCTAGAGAAGTTTGCTGAGTCAGATCTCTTCACAGTAGCGGTGATTGGAACCAGAACACTCAAAGAACCCTTTGCATGATTGAAGGGTTCTTTGCATGGTGAAACGGCTCTTCAGATTGATGGAGAATGTGCTGTAGATAATTCTGTATAGAACCTTTCTGAAAAGGGTTCTATATAGCACACAGAAATGGTTCTATTGTTACAAGCTTGACATCGTAACAATAGCAGAACCCTTTCTGGTGCTATTTACAGCCATTTTCAATAGTGCTATATAGAACCATATACAACACATTCTCCATCAATCTGAAGAACCGTTTCACCATGCAAAGAAGCAAGAAATGATTCTATATAGAACTCATGGTATATAGAACTCTTTACTAAAGATCCCTTGGAGAACCACCTTTTTTAACAGTGCACAATTAGATATTTCATGTCAAACCATTTTGAATGACTTCGTTTACGTCTCAATGATTTCTTTCTGCAAACATTTTGAAAATTCAGTGGAATTCCCCTTTAAAGTCTTGTCAAGAAGTGGCTGAACTCTGGTTACTGTACCACTGAGGAAAAGACAAACTCCATGACTCTAGGAGGTCACCCAATAAAAGAGCAAGAACTATTAGAACCAGGCTGGTCTGGAAAACCTTTAACTGACAGTTCAGCCAAAAACCTTTACACAATCTTCCCCTTATCCCAAATGCAGTTGGTAAAAATAGAATTCAGGATTCAAGACATCTGTCATTTCTTCCTTTAGTTTTTGTCCATTTTTTTTGCAAATAATAGCATGTAATACAGTGCTAAACAGCAAAATCACATAAGCAAGTTTATTACTTAACAACTCAAGAAGATTTAAGGCCAGTATGCGATAATTTATGTATTCTGTAATGGCTATAAGCTTCCACTATTTCTTAGCTACAAACTAAAGAAGCAAACTTCAGACACTAAACATGCCTCGGCTGATCAAACACTGCTTTGCAGTCTTACGTCATAATTTCTTTGTGGCATTTCTGTACACACTGCAGTGGCGCTACTTTGCCAAACCTGGATCTCAATCAGCATCAGCTGCTGATGGGAACAGGAACTGCTGTTTATGTTATCATATTTATATATGTACTGCTGACAGATGACCAGAGCAGAAGAGAGAAAGACTCACCTATTGCATCTTCATTCTCTCCTGAACCCTGACAGCCGTCTTCATCGTCACATTCGCCGCTGGTTTCCATGGTGCTGCCGCTTCCCACTTCCACGCGCTCGTGCTCCTCTGAGCCCAGTCCCATCTCAGCCGACATCTCCTAGAAAAACAACTTGCATTACAACACACGGCTTAAGCATCACTCGAGCAGGATTAGTTGTACTAGAGCAGGTTGAGTAATGTAGTTTGTGGGATTTGACTCGCCGAGTGGTTCAGGATAAAGAGTGTAATTTCAGCTGTATTTCCACACACAGCGCAGACTGAACAGTCACAGGCCAGATCTTTCTGTCAGCTTTACACAACAGGTGCTGCATTCAGTAACAATAACAATAACACGCTGCATGGTTGTGTCTGTTGGCAGGCTTTGTTATTCCATTAGTGTTAGGTGGATTGGAACAGGAGTACTATTACTGAGTGAGCTTCAGGTTCGATTATTAAATTATTATTATAATTATTCAATCATTATTGTCTGCCTGTAAAAACTACACACACTGAAGATTCATACTGGATTAAAATCACTCCATAATTATTACCGTCAGACTGTAAAACTACACACACTGCAGATTCATACTGGATTAAAATCCCTCCACAATTATTACTGTCAGACTGTAAAACTACACACACTGCAGATTCATACTGGATTAAAATCACTCCACAATTATTACAGTCAGACTGTAAAACTACACACACTGCAGATTCATACTGGATTAAAATCACTCCACAATTATTACAGTCAGACTGTAAAACTACACACACTGCAGATTCATACTGGATTAAAATCACTCCACACTTCCATATGCTTAAATATTCTGACGTGAGATTTAACCTGCTTGAGTTTGTATTTTAGAAAAGTATTTTAAAGCAGAACATACTTCTACATATAAATATTAATGAACCTCTTTACTTTTATTGAATAAGAGGAGTCCAGTTCCCTCCACAGTGTGCAGTTTTAAAAAAACGTATATGTCTTTATGCCTACTGGCCCCACATTCTTTGGCTGTAGATGACGGAGTAGAATTACAGTATATTGTGATGAAAATCTCCCTGTAGCATCACTGGCAATGTTTTCCAATATAGATTATAAAGCATCACTATTTGCACCTGAGGACAATGAATATTTTTATTTGTGTCTGGATTTTTTTTTTGTCTGAGTAGCCTCATTTCCCACCACCTCCAGCTCCCTGAATTGATTTGTTCTTGGCTTGTGTCCAACTGTCCTCTGACAATTAATCTTGGTGCTAAAAATCAGTATTCCAATAAAAAACTCGTAAAGCATCCCATTTCTTTTCTCCACATTACTGGAGCTCATTTCTCAGCCACCTGCTACAGACCGCATGAAAGGGGAAAAACTGAGCCGGGCATGTTTCTTTGAAGCAGGTAAGTGAAGTAAACCCACCCAGGCAGTCCAAATAAGCATGTGTGTTCAAACAAAGGCTTCCAGGCAGGCAGTCATGGCTCATAAGCCCTAAAACCGGCTACGGCTAGAAGGAATGCCAGTGCAGGGCAGGCAGGGCAGCACATGGACTCGTTCAAGTGTGAATTCCACATGTGTAGTGGGAGACAATGAGGAATCGTGCAAAACACAGAAACAAATATGAGAAATATGAAAATATGTTTTTAACTGAGTTCAGTAAATCATCCTCATTCTTTTCTGACCATATGGTGTTCCTGTATCGGGAATGAGTCAATCCTTCTTTTATTAACACAGGAATGCCGCTGACCAGCACTCACACAACTACAAAAATACTGCTTGTGTTCAGTTCTGAGGCATTAGAATGGACTTCCCGAAGTCCATTTTCCTACAGGAACTTCAGACAATTAACTTGCACCATGCCACTGTACCGATCATTCCCGGAGGCTTCGTTAATTAACTGCTGTATAATGAATTACGCCACATGTCAGACGGATGCCATGGCAACACAGCTGGAAAAACAATTGTCCTCTCAGCTAAAGAGGGCACATCCCCTGTTTAGATGCTAAAAAGGGCACATGCCCTGAGTTAGCTGGAACAATAATGATATATCTATAATTCCCCCGTTTACTGCAACCTCTTCAATTCTGCAGCTCAGGTGTGATAAAAAACAATAGCATATATAAAACAGGCATTTATTTGAGATTACTGGTAGTGAAAAATCCTGGAATTGTAGTGTTCAGCCTAAGCTGGCTGAAGTGAGAGAATACAAATCTCACAAAAAAGTGCATCCTGATTCAGACTAGGGCCCAATCCCATTTCACCCCTCGTCCCGATCACTTAGCCCTCACCCCTCTGTTTTGCATGTTCACTGCTAGGGGTAAGGTGTCTTGATTTTTGTTGAGATAGAGGCGTAGGGCGAAGTGTTAGGGCTACATGACCCTCCAAAGGTTTTTCAGAGACACACTCCAAACAGAGTGTTATGAGAAAAAAAGAGAAACCGGCAATATGGCTGCGTGAGTGACCAAAGAAACCCTCAAATGTGAGTATTTTCTCTGTTAGAAATGACAAATGATAACCATTGTATTATCTTAGTTTAATGTCGTTTCGATGTATTATGGTCCTTTTCTTCATAACAAGCATAAAAAATCGCTAATAGTATGCGAATGTCTCTGTAGCTAGCTAGCTAAATTTCACGTTCCACCTTAAATAGTCCAGCAGTTCTGACACCTGAAGTGCCAGAATGTAACTGCTGCTCCGTTTAAGGTGGAACAGGAAAATTTAAACAAGAAGCTGGCGAATATCTGACTTCAGCTTCATATCACTGAAGAATTAGGGGTGGATGATAATAAATAACTGTCACATTCCCTCTCATTAAAAGCATATGATGCACGAAGGTTAACTAACGCCCAGCAGTGAGGAGCTGAACTTTACCCTCCTCTGCTGTCACTGCAGACTGGCAGGGTCGCCTACAGAGCAGCGCTGGTAGCTGATAATGAAGTAATGCTCTTTTTATTTGAGGGTCCCATTTCGTAGGGAAGATTTCAACCACTAGAAATTAACCCCCAAGGGGCAAAGTGGCACAAGAAAACAAGGGGGGTAAAAAGAAATGGGATTGGGCCGATATCTCACATCAAGTGATGGCTTGGTCAAAATATCTTCTCTAATCTACCCCAAATGTAGTCAATCAGCCAAAACATTTAGCATCCAGATTTTCTTCTTGTGTTTGTGCTGAGCTACACCATAAACTGGAGGAAGGCAGTGAGTAAAAATCCAACAAACTCTTGACTAAACTAAGTTAAAATAAAGTGTTTGCAAAAGCCTGACTTAAGTTTGAAGGCTAATGCAGCTAATCAGAGTTGGGAGCTTATAACCCTCCGTTTAACATGCCCACATCATCACACACTGGTCTCAATCTGCATCAAGCTGTTAAATAACAACTTAACAACTTCAACAGACTCGTTTATGTGGGCTCTGATACTGTTATCTATGAAAATGGACAAAAGTATGGACACAATTTAGGCTTTAATGTGGCTGCTAGTGCTTGTTTTAGCTACACTCTTAAAAAGATGGTTCTTCAAGGGTTCTTTAGTAAAGAAAATGGTTCCATATAGAACCATGAACACTCAAAGAACCCTCTGCACGATAAAACTGTTCTTTGCATCAGGAAAGGGTTCCTTAGATTGATGGAGAATGTGTTGTATATTTTTGAAAAGGGTTCTATATAGCACCAAAAAGAGTTCTTCTTGTAACGATTGAAGAACGCTTTTTGGTGCTATATAGAACCATTTTCAAAAAAGTTCTATATAGAACCATCTACAGCACAGCACCATCAATCTGAAGAACGCTTCATGATGCAAAGAACCCTTCAATCATGCAAAGGGTTCTTTGAGAGTTAATGGTTCTATATAGAACAGTTTTCTTTGCTAAAGAACCCTTAAAGAACGATCTCTTTTAACTGTGTAGGCACTGTACTGCAATCTGTTTTATAGAGAACTATTTTTGATTGTTTAACAACTTAACGCAGTTTGAATCAAGCATGTGATGATTTAGGCGTTCAGTTTGATGCTAATGGGTGCCTATAAACCTCCATCACTTGTTAGCTACGTTAGCCTCGTAGCTGCAGTGCAAAACTACTGCATCGAACTTCAGACACTAAACATTCTTGGCTGATCAACTACATTTGGTAAAGGTGGAAAACTATGCAAATTAGACTTTTTGCAGAACTATTTCTTTAAGTGGAGAGCAGCCTTTACTGCGTTTCCCTTTTCTCCTAAATCAGCACTTCAGTCTATCTGAGATACAAATTCCCTCGTTTGTCTCAAAGGGTGCTGTGGGGCAGTGTAAGCTCCTGACTTGCTGGGCACCATCCACACACACACAAATCGATACGACAGCATGCTGGATGTGGAAGGTTTTTGTTGCCAAACCCCGTTTCCTTGACGACAGGCCCATTCTGACAGCCTAACCTCATCAATTGGGCTAAGACGTGACTCAAATGGTCTGAAGAGAGCAGCATGCAGGCTCATTTGGAGAAGGCCAGTCAGCAGGGTAGAACATATCACTCACTGCGCCTGAGACTGAACCCACACAACAGCACAAACACGCCTTTAACCCCATACAACACCAGCACCACCACACTGAGCGCAATTATTCTAACATATTTTATAATATTACATTAAAAATCAAATACAGATTTACATCTGGAGTGACTGTATGTGCAGGAAAAAAACAGAGAGAAAGATATAGAGAGAGCAAGAAAACAGAGGAAAAAAGAGAGAAAGAAAAAAGAAGAGAAAACGAAAGAGAAAGAAAAAGAGGGGGAGAGAGAGAAAAATATAGAGAGAGAAAAAAGAAAACAAGAGAAAGAAAAAGAGGGGGTGAAAGGAAGAGGAAGATATAGAGAGAAAAAAGGAAGAAAGAAGAAGAAAGAGAGAAAGAAAAAAGAGAACAGAGAGAAAGAAAAAGAGGGGGAGAAACAGAGAGAGAAAGATATGAAGAGATAAAAAGGAAGAAAGAAAAAGAAAGAGAAAAAAGGAGAGAAAACGAGAGAGAAAGAAAAAAGGAAGAAAGAAGAAGAAAGAAAGAAAGAAAGAAAGAAAGAGAGAAAGAAAGAAAGAAAGAAAGAAAGAAAGAAAGAAAGAAAGAAAGAAGGAGAGAATACTAGAGAGAAAGAAAAAGAGGGGAGA